TCAAGCAATGTAATAGTGTGTGAGCAGAAACACTAGTTTAGTTTGTTGCAATTCTCAGTTAAATCATCAGTTATCATTCGTCTTCTGCTTATTCTTGTCCCAGTCAAAATTAATTACATCTGCATAAGTAGGATTTAAATAGATTCAAGTGGGAGAATCTTAGAATTTTCACAAAGCCTTTCAAAGATAATCCCAGTGCTGTAGGTGCATTTATGTTGGAGTTGCAATTCAAAGGATGAATAGTCTGTGTGTCTAATATTTAGATGCTCAAGAAACAGGATTTTTGAAAGTGTGACTATTTTATTTCCTATTTGTCCCAAAAATGAATCCAGAAATACAAAAAAGCCCTTTCCCTTGGCATCCTACAATTGTTTCCTGCAATGCATGTTTGCCACTCTTCTCAAAAATATTTCATATGCATTGCCAGTACTGAGGCTATAGGAACTTCAAACAAGGGTAGAACGTTTGAAAACAAGTTTGGAAATAACGTTCTATTGTTGCTTTGTGTCCATGGGAAATTATGTAACATCATAGAGAACCAGCCAGCAAGTCAGCCAGCCTATACAGGTAGTCCTTTACTTACAATAGTTCATTTAGTGATCGTTCAAAGTTACGTCCCTGGAAAAAGTGACTTATGGCCATTTTTCACTCTTAAGACTGTTGTAGCATCCCCATGGTCATGTGATTTACTATTTGGATGCTTGGTAACTGACTCATATTTATGATGGCTGCAGTGTCCTGAGGTCATGTGATCAGCATTGCAATCTTCTGACAAGCAAAGTCAATGGGGAAACCAAATTCATTTAACAACCGTGTTACTAATTTAATAACTATAGTGATCCACTTAACAAATGTGGCAAGAAAAGTTGTAAAATGGGGCAAAGCTCACTTAATAAATTTCTTATTTAACAACTTAAATTTTGGGCTCAATTGTGCTTGTAAGTTGAGGACTACCTGTAGTATGGTCCATCCATTCATGAATTTTACATAATAAAATTACAGAATAACAGAGTTGGAAGGGACCTTAGAGGTCTTCCAATCCAACCCCCTGCTCAAGCAGGAAATCCTTTACCATTTCAGACAAATGGTTGTTCAATTTCTTCTTAACTTCCAGCGTTGGAACATCCACAACTTCTGGAGGCAAATTATTCCACTGATTCCATTGTCAGGAAATGTTTACTTAGTTCTATGTTGGTTCTCTCCTCAATCAGTTTCCATCCATTGCTCCTTGTCCTGCCTTCAGGTGCTTTGGAAAAGAGGTTGACACTCTCTTCTTTGTGACAGCCCTTAAATATTGGAATACTGCTATCATATCAGCCCTGGTCCTTCTTTTCATTAAAATAGACATACCCAGTTCCTGCAACTGTTCTTTGTTACGTTTTATCCTCCAGTCCTTAATCATCTTTGTTGCTCTGCACTCTAGAGAGTCTCAACATCTTTTTTTATATTGTGGCAATAAAAACTGATGCAATATTCCAAGTGTGGTTTTACCAAGGTATTATAAAGTGGCATTACCACTTTGTGTGATCTTGATTCTATACCTCTGTTAATATAGCCTAGGATTGTGTTGGGTTTTTTTGGCAGTTGCAGCACACTGCTGGTTCATATTTAAGTGATTGTCCATTAGGACTCCAAGATCCCTCTCACAGTTACTACTATTGAGCCAGGTACCACTTATTTTATACCTATTCATTTGGTTTTTCTTGCCTAAATGTAGAACTTTACTTTTGTCATCATTGAATTTCATTTTGTTAGATAGGGTCCCGTGTTCAAGTCTGTGAAGATCCTTCTGCATTTTGAGCCTATCTTCTGGAATATTGGCTATTCCTGCCAGCTTGGTGTCATCTCAAATTTAATGAGCTCTCCTTCTATCTCCTTGTCTAAATCATAGTAAAAATAGTATATAGATCAAAATAAAATTAATTAGACGAATCAGAGGTAGAAGTTTAAAACAATGAAATGATAGTTGTTCAGACACTATTGGGGAAAGGCAGTTCCCTAAAGTACGCATATCCTGAACCACATAGGGCTTTATAAGTAAAAACTAGCACCTTAATCTGCATTTAGAAATCTACTGGAAGCCAGTAGTGTAGGACAGGTGTAACTTAATTGTACCCCAACTTCCACTGTATTCTGAACCAGTTGAAGTTTCCAGTTGGTCTTCAGGACAGCCCTATATAGTGAACTCTTTTATTTTTATTAATTTTATTGAGAGATTACAAGTGTACAAGTAACCCTCTTCAGTGCATCCTTCCAGATGGCTGCACTTAGGACACTGGCTAAAGCTATGTAAAAGCTAATAGCGCAAATCTGATCTTTGAGGAGGAAGCTACTCTTTCTGAGGAAGGACAAGCCTATCACAAATAGTAGTCTTGGAATCAGCCCTTTGCAAATTGGCAATCCTGATCGTGGGACACTGCAACCATTGTGTGAGCTGATTGCCAAGCATCCAAATCATGATCATATGGCTTCAGAGGTGTTGCAATGGCTGGAACTTCAAGGATTGGTTGTAAGTACTACTTGTTCAGCACTATGATGACTCTGAACAGTTACTGAACAAGTGGTCATAATCCAAAGACTGCCTTTATAGTAGTATCGTGAACCAATACCACACCGGAAGTCAGCATGCCCCACTTGTTATGGATGGCTCATCTGAGTTTTCGTAACGTTTCACAGTAGACTTCTGAATTGCTGGTTGAACCACACTCCATGAACTTCACCAGCAGTACTCCTTTAGCATCTTCACATTAGGTGGGATTTTCTGTAGTATTGGTTCATGATAATGCTCACCCGCACACTAGACGCACCCAAGAACTTTTGAAGCAGTTCTGTTGGGATATTTTTGATCACCACCCCCTACTGCCCAGATTTGGTGCTGAGCGACTACTAAGGAATTTCAAACCTTGTAAGACGTTATAACTGCCTCAATTTGAATGGCGATTATGTCAAAAAGTAATGTTAATGTTCTAGATTTCTAATGTGTACAATAAAAGTTCTGTATCTGTGAGTGTCTGACATTGATAACCAAACGGAGATTTATTTCCAAATCGCCCTCATATTTCATATGTATGGTTTCTTTCAATTCTTTTAGGCTCTAGCTCATTGGCTTTGATGATATCTAGCCAACATGTTTTTGGTAGCCTTGTTTCCGTTTACCACTGACCATTCAGAGCATAACTACCTTTTCCAGTGAGTTTGAGCATATGACATGACTGAAATAAGACAAAATTTAGTGATTTTGCCTCACAGCAATATGCATGAGTTTATATGCTCCAGCACTTGTCATCTTTGTGATCCAAGGAACGAGTCTTCTCCAACACCACAGCATAAACAAATAGATTTTCCCGTCTGTTTTTTTCATGGTCCAACTTTCACAACTACAGGTAGCCATAAAAAACACAAGATAGTCCCTGACTTAGGATCACAATTGAGCCCAAAATTTCTGTTGCTAAGCGAGACATTTTTGAGTTTTGCCCCATTTTATGACCTTTCTTCTTCAGTTGTTAAGTGAATGACTGCATTGTTAAATTAGTAAGATGGTTAATTGAATCTGATTTTCCCATTGACTTTACTTGTCAGGTCACAAAAGGTGATCACATGACCCTAGAACACTACAACCATCTTAAATATGAGTCAGTTGCCAAATGTCTGAATTTTGATCATTTGACCATGGGGATATTGTAACGGTCATATATGTGAAAAACAGTCATAAGTCACTTTTTTCTATGCTGTTTTAACTTCGAATGGTCACTAAACAAACTGTTGTAAATCAAGGACTATCTGTGGTGTAGATTAACCTTCATTTGGTTGCCAGGCCAATGTCTTTGCTTTTCCATACTTGATACATTTAAAATACATATAATATGTATGTATTTAATATATTATATTCTGGAGTGATATGTTTATTTTTATCATATATAACAAAGATGTCTTTATCTGGCTGGTCTCTTTCAAAAAAGAATTGTGCCCTTTTATTTTTTAAACTCCTGATTTTTTTCCTATTGCTTCTCAGGCTGCAAGGAACCGGAGGGGAGGGATGGAGACAATGAAAAGTTAACAGCCTTTACCAGAGGACAGGTACACCAGAGCTTGATAGCCAGCCATCAGTTTTACTGGACTATATGAAATACAGGGTTAAGTGCTGGTTCAGCTAAATGTAAATTAGAGTTGAGTGTCAAACTCATATACTCCCTCCTCTGGCACAGCTATGAAAGAACTCTGATTTTTTTGTATTCAGTGTAGATAAATCAAATTTTGTTATACTGTCTGAAATAAAGCAAACAATGGTTAGTTTTAGCAATTAATAGGTAAGTCAGAAAACTGAACTTGAAACATAACTTTTAAACTGTTTCCATTAACTTATTAAAATTAATCAATTTAGGATTCAAATGAGACAAAATGCAGCTAATATTCAACAAAACTAGTATGTACCTTGAATACTTGTAATATTAATCTTAATTCTCTAAGCAATAATATGGAGATAGGCTTAATTGTATACCACATCTACCAACTTACCCAAAGGGCAAGGTTCTGAACTAGTCCTCAGCTTTTATACAGATTTATACTTAGGAAAATAGCTTATTAGAATTATTAAAATGTATATACAGTTGCAGAAAGAATAGTTTATATAACAACGCACCAGATACATCCTCAGAAAAATATTTGAATATTTAAATGTACCCAAGAAAAACAACTAGGACAGAAATTATTATTTTCATATTTAGCTTGAATAGATCTAATGAAAGAACAGAATGGGCATTATTTGGTTATAACTTTACAACAATATGTTAAAATTAAATCAATGTTAAATTCTGTAAGACAAAATGACAGCAATGGAAGGAGGACTTTCTAAAGCACTGAAAAGGGCTTACACAAGATCTTTTACAGGGCAGAGATGACATTAGCTGAATAAAGTCCTAGCAAAAGGAACATGACTCTGGATGACTTCTTTATTTATACTTCAGTCACAATGCTCTATCAAGGGGAAAATATTCTAAATATAATATTTGATATTCATTTATTTGATCAATTTTGATGTAAACATTCTAGTTCAGAATTTAGTAACTAGTGTAAGTTTTGAATATACTAGTGACATTACCAAAACATAAAAGTTCTCAATTTTTACACTGCTGATTCTTTTAGGTATTATAAAACTTTAGACAAATCTCAAAAGCAAGTTAATCTGCAGCACTTCACAACATCCTGCACTGAACAATAGAATTTATATTCTTTCCAAAGTCAGATGAAAAGTGTAAGAAATAAAATGACTGATTTCTTATTAGACTATACTTTCACTTTATTGTATTCACCTGGGTAGTGTTAACATTGGACATTCAACAGACACCTATATTTTATTACTTTTTTTGGTATGGTGTTACAGATAGAACCAAGATATTTTCTGTGGTTCATCTATCTTGTAGGTTAACTGACTGTTTTACACATTTATATTTGTTTCAATACTATTTTATGACATGTTTGAAGTTAGTCCATAGCTGACATTCCTCACTTCTGATTTAGTCTCTGAGTAAGGTTTTTAGCATTAGTTTTTCCTTTGCACACTGTGTAACTTGAAGCATTTCTACATCTAATTTATATATCCAATAATTTATATATCCTACAATAATAGAGATCCATTAATCCATGTTTCCATCCATCTGGTGAGGACAGGAAGAGTAAGTATGATCCAGGTTCCATCAATTCAACAGGGTGTCTTCTCAATGGCAACCCCCTTCATCCTTTGAAATGACATCCTTAGAGGGAGCTATACTACCTTATGTAAATTGTTGAAAACTTGGATTGTTTTTCCAGGCCTTGGAACAGGCGTGTGATATGATAAGCTCTATTCTTGTTTAACCTTATGTTGTTTTCTTGTAATTATAGGCTTCCCAAAGTTATTGAGGAACTGGGCACTCTCAAAATTTAATTTATTTAAAAAATGATTGTAAATTTATTATGTTATATATGTGGTAATATTTTGTAACTAAAGCCACTGGATTCTACCAGACTCTCAATTCTACAAAACTATTCCACAAGCATGCACCTTTACAGCATATATATTCTGTTTCTGCCCACTGATTACTCCGCTAACTCTTTCTCAACAATATTTTGATTTCAAAATGTTTTTAACCAAACTCTTTATTTTAAATAAAGACATACACCAACAATCTTTTCTTTGCAAATTACTATGTTCTTTTTCTTTCACTTGCTAGGTGTAGATGGTGGAACCCACTCTTGTATCTTCTTACGTGTTGTAGAGTATGGTACATACTGTTTGGGAGTACCACTTTCATTCATTTTATGATTTTGGAAAATGAATTTACGACTCACTAGTGGATGTGTAGTTGGTGGGTCTTCTGTCATACAGTGAATCCAACGATGCCTTGTAAAGAAAAAAAATACAATAATAAAGATTTCCTAGGGACATATATTTGCACACATAGGTTCACAACAAATTAGGTTTTATGGGCAAGATTTACACTTCCTAAAACATAAAAAATAGTTACATTTTAAAAATCATCGATTCTACAACAACAATCTAAACATGCACCACCGGCTCAGCCACCACCCTCCCCTCCTCTACCTGGACTTTCAGTGCAAGAGGTTAGAGGCATAATGGGAGAGATTGTAGTTCAAATGAGAGAGGAAATGACTCAATTTGTTTCACAGATTAAATCAGAAATTAAATCTGATCTCAAAGAAGAGATAACGGGGATAAAGTCTAAATTGCAAGAAAATAATAATGAATTACGACAAGATATACTGGCAGCTGTTTCAGGTTTGGCTACTGTGGTGGTTAAGCTCGATGCAAGGCTTGAGGAAGTGGAAGACAAAGTTGACTCTTAGATGACAAAATTCAAGACGTGGAAAGGAAGGTGGACTCCTCACAAGAAGATATTTTGATGTTTCAATACAGACAAATGGAGTATGCTCTGAGGATTAGAGGCCTCAAGGAAGATATGAATCAAGATTTGATGGAGGTGGTTCTTAGTGATCTGGCGCTGGCTTTGGATATGGATAAAGGAGAATTACAGAGAGAAGTAGAAAAAATTTATAGACTCAACTCCTGGATTGCTAAGCAGAAGAATTTGCCCAGAGATGTGGTGATTTACTTTACAAAGAAGTCCCTGCGGAATGAGATTATACAAGTTTTTTACAACAAAAGATTTCAGATTGCCGCCCAAGATGTCATCATTCTAAAGGAAATCCCATCTAAAATTTTAAGAAGTAGGAAAGACTTTGCTTTTTTAACCAATGAGCTTAAAGCTAGATCGATGCCATTCAGATGGGAAATTCCGATGGGTATCGTTTTGAGCCATGCTGGGACACGTTACAGATTGAACACAGTTGATAAAGCTAGAGATTTCTATACTTCGGTCCTGAGTGCAGGCTCAACTTCATCTGGTCGGAAATCTTTGAGTGCTAAGGAACCTGAGCAGCAATCTGAGGCATTAGATTTGGTTTCCGCAGGGATGATAGAAGTGGCAAAGCAACGCCAAACGGAGGCTAAAGAGCAGAGGATGACTCGTGCAGCTTATAAGCGTAAAGAGAAAGAGCAACGTAAAAAAGAGCCCAAAGAGAATTCTCCTGGAAGTGCATCACCGCCGGTGGGAGGAGCAAGACCCAAGAGTTATGCAACACACGCAGCTCTGTCAGAGTTTGATGGTGTCTTCTCCAGGCTGCGTGCCAAGGGAGATGGCAAAGTTTTTGACCTGGAATGTTAATGGATTGAATTCTCCTCAGAAACGGAAAAAAATCTTTTATTATTTGAAACAACATACCAATGATGTTATTTGTTTACAGGAAACTCATATTCTACTTAAAGATCAGAAATATTTAGTTAATGCTCGTTTGGGATCTCATTTTATATCTCCTGCACCTGGGAAGAAAGGGGGAGTTGTTATATATGTCAAACAAAACCTGCCAGCTTGTCTGGTAGAATCAGATCCCCAGGGGAGATATGTGATGATTGAACTTGGTATTTATGGTAAGAAAGTACTTATAGTTGGACTTTATGCTCCAAATCAACAACAGGAACAATTTTATAAACAGTTACACCAAAAAATAACTTTGCTTGATTATAGATCGGTGGTATTAATGGGTGATTGGAATGGTGTCTTAGATACACAAAGGGATAAGAAAGGTTCCTCTCCTTTTCTTAAACAAGCAAGGCTACCTAAAGCCTTTTTTGATATGAAAGAAGACTGGGAATTAAGGGACTATTGGCGGGAACGTAATCAAGAGGAGAGAGACTTTACTTTTTTTTCTGACAGACACCAATCTTTTTCAAGAATTGACTTTTTCTTGATTACCACGGATTTGTATAATAAAGTAAAGAATGTAAAGATTTTTCCTAGATCACTGACGGATCATAGTCCAGTTTGGATGGAGTTGATTCAAGAGAAAGAGGAAAGAAGATCCTGGAGAGTTAATGAAAATTTGTTTAGACAAGAGAAGAATGTTCAAAAACTAAAGGAGTGTTTAAAGGACTATTTTGCTTTGAATATGTATAAGGGGACTTCAATGTCAATGGTATGGGATGCAGGTAAAGCATTTATGCGCGGTGTTTTGATAAAAATGAATAATTTTTATAAGCGAAATCAGATTCAGAAACGTAGAGAACTTGAAGATGAAATTAAACTAAAAGAAAGGGCTTTGATTCTAAATCCTTCTGATGAAAGTACTAAAGAATCTGTAAAGTTATTAAGGTCACAATTTAATATGTTGATAGCAGATCAAGCTGCAACCAATTTATTATTTATGAAACAAAATACATTTTGTAATGCTAATAAGCCGGGGAGATGGTTGGCTTATCAATTAAGAAAGAAACAGAGACTGAGAATAATAGAGAAAATAAATTATAAGGGTAAACTAGTTTCTCAGAAGGAATTAATTAAAAAATCTTTTTTGGATTATTATCAAAACCTATACAAATCTACTAATGTACAACTGTTAGATATAAATAAATATTTAGCTGAGGCAAGTTTTCCTAAACTGACTGAGGATCAGAAATATGAAATTAATGGTTTAATTACTAAGGAGGAAATTGCCTCAGCAATTCAACAATTGAAATTAGGGAAAGCACCGGGTACGGATGGGTTAACAGCTGTTTATTATAAAGCTTTAATGGAGGAGATGATTCAACCATTAAATGATCTTTTTAATGGTATCTTACAGGGTTTAGAGATTCCTCCTTCATGGCGTAGTGCTTTTATATCATTGATTCCAAAGGAGGATCAAGATCTTACTTTACCAAAAAACTATAGGCCTATATCTCTTTTAAACGTGGATTATAAGATATTTGTAAAAATTTTGGTAAATAGGCTTATGAGGGTGGTGCATCATCTTGTGCATAAAGATCAATCAGGGTTTATAACAGGAAGGTATATGAAAAACAATGTTAGACAAATTATTAACTTATTAGAATACTTAGATAAGAACAACCAAGTTCCTGCAGGGCTCATATTTTTAGATGCTGAAAAAGCATTTGACCAACTGAATTGGCATTTTATGCTAAGAGTAATGGAAGAAATGAATTTTGGTGAAAACATATTACAAGCCCTTAAGGTAATATATCAAAAACAAACAGCACAACTTATTGTTAATGGAGGTTTGTCGGAGGTTTTCACAATAGAGAAAGGTACTAGACAGGGGTGTCCTTTATCGCCATTGTTGTTTGTTTTAACATTGGAAATATTATTGATTAAAATTCGAGAGTCTCAGGAAATTAAAGGAATATATGTTAATAAAAAAGAATATAAGTTGAGAGCTTTTGCGGATGACTTGGTTGTTACTTTGTCGCAACCTGATTATTCTGTAGTAAACTTATTACAGTTGATTCACCATTATGGTTTGGTCTCGGGTTTTAAGATTAATGTAAATAAGACTAAAATTTTACCTAAAAATTTGTCGAGTCAGGAGAAGCAGATTTTGGTTAACTCGACGGGTTTTGAGATTGTTAATAAGGTAAAATATTTGGGGGTGATGCTGTCTGTTTCTAATGCAAAACTATTTAAAAATAATTATGAAAGGTTGTGGGTCGGGGTACAGAAAGACTTGAAGAATTGGGAAAAGCTGCAATTATCCCTCATGGGAAGAATTGCAGTGATAAAAATGAATATTCTACCCAAGTTTCTTTTTTTGTTTCAAATGTTACCAATTTTGAAAAATGAGATTAATTTAAATGAGTGGCAGAAGGGTCTCAATAAATTTATTTGGGCAGGGAAAAAACCAAGGGTTAAGTTCAAAATTATGCAAGACTTCCGTGAGAGGGGCGGACTCAAGGTACCAAATTTGAAATTATATTATGATGCGGTGGTTTTAACATTAATTAGTGACTGGGTAAATTTGACAAATTCTGAGATACTTTATCTAGAGGGATGGGATTTACTTTATGGGTGGCATGCCTATTTAATATTTAATAAAAAAATAGATTGGGCTTTTAAATCTCATATTTTAAGAATTTCTTTACTTAGGATTTGGAGAAAATATTATAAAAGTGATTTTAAAGTACCATTATGGGCTATACCTTGGCATGCGATAGAAGGAATAAAAAGAGGGGTTAAAATGGATATGGTGTCTTACAGACAGTTACTTAAATGGGATGGACAAAACTGGCAATTAAAATCACGGGAAGAATTAGCACAAGAAAATTTTACTTATTCTTGGTTTCAATATAGGCAACTACTAGATAGATGGAAGATGGATTGTAAGGTGGGTTTCCTTAGAGAAGATGAAAATCTTATTAAGCAACTGAAGGATCAAAGACAAACCCACATTAAGAGAATTTATGGGGTTTTAGTTGAATTGGACTCAGAAACGGAACTAATTAAAGATTGTATGATTAGATGGGCGCAGAACTTTGGTGAGCCAGTTTCATTGGACACCTGGGAAACTATTTGGGTGAGAAATGTCAAATTTACTCAAGCACAGAACTTAAGGGAGAATTTTTATAAAATGTTTTATAGATGGCACCTTGATCCACAAAAAATGTCTTACATGTACCCTGACGTGCAACCTAAATGCTGGAGATGTGGTTATAAGGAGGCTTCTTATTATCATATTTGGTGGTCATGCAGAGAGATAAAAGCATTTTGGATCAAAATATGGTGGAATATCCAGAGAATTTTTAGAAGGAGGGTAAAATTTACTCCGCAATTATTTTTGTTAGGTATTGTTACAGATTGTGATACAAAGGAGGTTGTATTGATGTTAAATTTGATCACAGCCGCGAGGCTGTTAGTTGGACAATATTGGAAGAAGGAATCTTTGCCTACATTGCAGGAATGGTTTTTTAAAGTAGCTTATCTGGCGGAAATGGCAAAGATTTCGGCTTTCTTAAAGCAACAAACGCAAGAGAAGTTTTTTGCTATCTGGGACAAATGGATAAAATTTATACAATTTAGATTGGGTATACAAAAATATCATATAGTTTTTTCATAAGTTTTATTTTTATATATATTATAGATATCTTTTTTGTATATATAAATATAAAGTTTTTAATTTAATTTTTATTTTTTTTTATTGCTTAAGCCTATATTCTGCTCTGGGAAGCTCAGGGGGGGGGAAGGGAGGGTTTTTGGGAGGGGTGTGGGGTGGGGTTTTTTTTTTTTATATGTATTGTTTAATTTTCTTTTTTTTCTGTATATGTTGTTTTTTGTTTTGTATTGTTCTTGTTTTTTTTGTAAAATTTATAAAACTTTTAATTAAAAAAAAAAAAAAAATCATCGATTAAATTTTACATTTAATAAAACTGAAGTCCTGGTAATTGAGTATAGTTGTCAATAAACCAAGCACAACTTTTCATCATTCAACTATCTTGATAAAGCTAAGGCTACAAGATTTGGGCTGTAAATATTACTTAGTTTTATAGACCTTTCTGTTGCCAATGAACAGTAATCAGGAGTTTTGAAGTACAGATGCAATAATCCAAGAGAAACCTGCTTGTGACATGATTAAATAAAAATACGAAAGGTCTGACAAGGAAAAGCAGGGAAAAAAATCTCTTATTTATACCATTGACTACATCAAGGATCCAGAGTGACGAGCTTATTTTATTTATTGTATTTAATTTTAAATTCTCAGTACTGTTTCCCCATGGAAACAAAAAATTAAAGGTATCTTTTTCCTCAGGCTTCAGTGAAAGACTAAAAAACACAGGCCTGCTTTAACCAAAACTTTTCTTCCAAAGTTTTTAATATGCAAACCTTAGAAATTAACATAATGTAACATAAGTACTAAGCAAACCTTAAAAAATTAGAACAAGTTCTTACAAGAACAAAATTAAATAAAAGCAGCAAAATGATAATTTTTAAATAAGCATTTTCCTCAATGAAGTAATGAGAAAATGTAATATTTAATATATTCATAAAATATTCATGTATTTAAAACTTATCATGATGATACAATTGAAAATATCCAACAGTACAATATTACAGAATATTTAATGAAGACAACCTTGATTAAAAATGTAGGTATTAATATATATAGATTTTCAAAGCAATTAGCAATTTATATATTGCCAATATATGAGGAATATGGCAAAAAAAAATTATAGGCACTGTGCCTTATTTCTAAGGCCTAAGCTAGGCATTATTTATTTAATTAATTTGTACGCCACCCATCTTGCCAGAAACAATTCTAGGCAATCTATAGACATTCAATTAAAATGTACTAAAACATTAAAACAATAAATAAGGATCATAAATTTAAAATTCAACTAAAATAAAACTAACCAGGATGGAGAAGGAGGAAACAAAGTGCACACAGAAAGGAAGTGGGATGTTATTATGGTAAATTTGCACAATTATTATGGCAATTGTTTGGACTATTGGCGCTTTCTCTCTCTCACGTACACAAATCTAATTTAAAAGAAATGGAAGACAAAATTTTAGTATTTTCTGAATCATATTTCTTTTCCATAACAGCCAAGACAGGCAATGGAATATTGTTTTTTATTCTAGCAAACTTTTTGTAACATGTTTTTTCAGATCTTATCATGATAAAATACCCAATAAGGGCATTTAATTTTTCCACAAAATGCTACTAATCACTCTACAGGTACATAAACAAAATTCCAAAGACACTGGTCAATTTCCAGTAATAAATATGTATTTATAGCAATGTTTGAACCTAACACTTTCACTGATCTGATGTAACTACAGCTGCTGAATTATGTGCTATAGGAGATCTGGTAAAATATAGGAAGTTCAAAATATAACATAGAGCATAAACCACTTCTTATTCCAGATTTATTTCTGGAAAAATGTCAGTTAACTTCCTGGATAGCAGAAAGCAAACATGACATTCTGATAATCCTGAGAAAGTTCTTAGATCCATAGTAATACTGGTAAATGCTGGTAAAGGGTTAGAGACTGAGGTATGGTTTAAAAGGCTCAAATCAATTTCTTTTATAAACAGAATTGTTCTGAGATACCTGTTAATAAAAAACATAAATAAATGTATGTATCAAACCATCTGATTTACCATTCAGGAGGTATCATGCTTCCATCTAAATCCCAGTATGTGTTCTTGCCATCCATTTCTGCAGTATATATGACCCACCTATGACGACCTTAAAGATAGCAATTTAAAAAAAAAAATATTAGAATTTTAAAAAGGATGAGTGTATGTATGTTACTTTATTAATTCTCTTAGAGTTACACAAAATCAAGTTTTGTGGCTATCTATATTTCTGTTGTCAATTTTGGGAAGGACTAATTTGACATGGAAAGAAAGAGGATAATTAGAAACCAAAAATCATTCACATTTACAGGGTTTTTTTAAAATAGAAGAATGCAGGACAACATATGTATCTTTACTATGACTTCTTAGCAATTAACATTTTAATTTAGCAATTTAAATAACTATTAGTAGTTTCAAGTGGAATTACAAGCACAAATACCTATTGGTTTCAATAAGATAAACTACTTGTTTATACTTCTAATTTTGATACAAACTATTCATCATTTTCAGATTTACAAATCTGGAGCTTATACACTTAAGACTGAATTTCCCTTAGCAGTTTTATTTGCATGAAAAATGTACAAGCACAATATTTTGCAAATTACTAAAGAACCCGTGATCAATATGTATGAATTATTCTTCTAATTAAATTACGGATCTGTGTCTCCCTGATTGTTTCTACCTTTCCTATCTGACCCCACAGGAAAGCATGTTGTGGATTCCATTGGTTAAGTAGTCTCACCACGAAGAATCCAAACAAGACCCCTTTCTGCCTCTGGATCATCATCCCTCTTGAGATTTGGTTCACCCTCATCCTGTGAGCCTTTTGCAAAGTCCTGAAGATCTGGTTCAATGTCTAAACCTGCCCCCTCCCCCCGGATTACTTTAGTAATTGTATATTTACTTATTTTAAAATTGTAGGTTGTCTCTAGAGTTAGGATATGAGATGGGCAACCATGTACAATGAATAAACAAATGTTTAAAACATTAACATTGTTTATTTTTCCATGCATGAACTTTTTTTTTTTAAAGTAACATTACTTCTTCAAGCCAAAATAATGCCAAAAAAGCAAGATCAACTTCTGAATTAGACATCCAAAAGACTGTATACTATTTAACCCATTTCTAAATATCTTTATTTCAGCAAAAATCCAAATTTCTGTTGTGGCATCAGTAACTTCTTATTGCTATTGGTTTTTTCTATTTAACATCAAACTGAATTAATAAGACACAGCAAAAACAATACTTTCATTGTTGAAAAATATGTTAAATAATCCAAATTCTTTAGTAGAATAAGCTCAAATAATCCAATTATCCTTACCAAAAAAGAATCTTTTGTCTTCATAGTACTTGTTTCCATACTTATCAGTTCCTACTAGAGTACCAATCTTCAGATCATTGACCCTGTAAATATCCAAAATAAGATAAAATCTTCAAGGGGTTTATAGCTATGTGACAATCTACAGGCTTTGCATGCAGAAGGTCTTGAGTTTAACCTCTGCCATCTTCAGATAAACTGTGAAAGTCTCCATCTGAAAGCCTGGAGATTACTGTTAGATAAAAAATATAGAAAACTACAGTATAAGGTAGCTTTCGTTGGTTTTGCCTTTCAAATATCTTATTCGGGCAATCCAATGGGTAAGAATTTTTTTCAGTTGCTGCTCCAAATAAATAAAACTATTAGGGGAAGATGAAAATAAAAAAATATATATTACATTAATATTATTTATTACATTCTTAAAGCTTACAAATAACATGCAGAAGCATTATTTCTGCACAACTTGCTTGCAACTAGACAAGTTATCTGCCAAATGAGTTTAGTCCAAACAGTGTTTTGGGCAGCAGCCTGAAAAATTATTCCCAAATAATTTTAATTAACTATCTGTTCACCTCTATGTGACTAAAATACCTCCGCTGTATTATTTAAACTATTGTTATACCTTCCTTTAGCACAGCACCAATGAAACCACCAGCGCAAATGTGTTTCCTAGTCCAGTTATAGTAACCTTGTTAAAAAGCAAGGTCGAGAGGCAAGAAGCAGTTCGAAGTCAGAGCTAGGGCAGAGTGACTGAATGAAATCTGGATCTCCCAAACCTTGCATGGCGCCATAAACAGAGCCCCGTCTTTTCTGGGATTACGCCACAGTCAAGAGGAGCCCAAAGTTAGAGAAAGCTTCCCAAAAGTGACCTTCCCAACAGGCTTTGCAGTCATTATAAGGTCGCCCTAGTTCCCATCCTCGAGGAAAGCCCGCTCCGGACATCAAAAGCCAGCTTCCCCTCGGCCCTTTTCTGCTTAACTCACGAATTTCTGGAAATATTCTTTCCTCTAACTGTACTCTGAGGGTCATGTCATTCAACCCTGTGAGCCGCATTCTCCAGCAAGGTGCTCCCCAGCTGGAAAGGACCGCCCGCCCTCGTTCCTCACGTTGGCGCTACCAGCACATTGCACCTGAGTAGCTGCCACATAACGCCACGAATGCCGCCATGTCCACCGAGCTGTTGCAGCGCCCTCTTGAACACCTGCACATATTCCGCCATTTTCCCTATTCTCACGGAGATCCGCCCCTCACTTTTCCGCGCATGCGCTGCAGCTCCTTGATTTTGCAGATTCAAAGGGGAAAGAAAACTTCCGTCTGGCGCGCGTTTCTCAGTCGGCTGTGTATGCAAAAGGCGATAGCCTCAATTTTAATGCACAATTTAGACCAAAGCAATTCATTTCCTTGACAAAATTGAATATGAAAAGAATGAAATTTAAACCATTGGGTTATATAACTTTTATCTCGCCATTTTATAACATTTTCAGCTCCAGTATTACTCAATGTGTATCAAACTCAGATTATTTCTGTTGTGCTTTCAAACTTGGTACTATATATCTCAAAACAGGAAACCAAATTAAATTGTATAGAAATGGGGGAAAGTAAATTGATGTAAAGTAGCGAGCAATAAATAGCTGGAAAAAAAGCCTAATGAAGAGTCAGTGATCATTCACATACTAAATTTCAGCAAAATGTTAATTATAAATATAAATTACTGTATATTTAACTGTAATATTGATGTATAGTTTGCCTGAACTTTTTTTTAAAAATGAGATTAACAGGATTCTATAATAAAAGTTAAAATTTATTTTTTAAAAATACAGCCAAAATAGAATTTACACTTCTGAGTTTAAAGACATTTACAACAGTATATTACACAATAAGGTAGTAATTGGGACATTATGATGTGTACACTATAAATGAATCACTAAAACGAATGAAAAATTGGAATGGAATTCAGAAACAATTTCTACTGACTGCAGAACACATTTACAGACGCTATTTAGGGAGATGTGCCATTCAAATGATTTTTAAATATGTTTTAAAACAGGTCAAGTTATATATGTAAGATGTTGGAAAAGTACATCAAAAAGCTACCACAACTATAGATATGATTAATTTCTGCATGTGCCCAAGTGTATGCATATATTTGTGTGCATAAAAATTAACTAGTTCATTATTAGGTGTTTCATTATGAAATATATAAAAGATATCCCTTTGTATTCAAATAATTTTTAAAACCTTGAAGTAAATAATCTTACCTGTCACATTACATAAACCCCTTTTTATTAATTAGAGCCCATAATTTGATAGAGGTGATTCTATTTCTGATTAAGGATATCTAAAGTAAAGGTAAATTGACGGAACACCACTGTATCAGTATCCCTGATATAGTAATATATTGTATTAATGCTCAATTACCTATACTAAACAATAACTAAGGAAAAACCACACTTTTAATAAATCTGAAAAGTGCATTTGGAAAAGTTTTTAAAAGCTGAAAATACAAAGCAGCATACTCAAACATGGAAACATAAAATATGAAATAATTAGGATTCTAGTGCAATCACTGCTATTTGGGAACATATCATTTAGTATGCAATACATATATTTAATCAAGTTTACTTGTTTATTCACTTATTGCTTTTTCAGTATTTTTCTAATTTTATCTGATTTTTTTTTAATGAAAGCCTGGAACTTAAATCTTGAAGGATCCAGAATAAATTCATTTCCAATAAAAGTGGTAATTTTATTCGGTAGTGTACTGTGGAAAAATTCTTCTCCCATCTTTCACTTTCTCTATGTTCTTCCCAAATTTGCTCCAGGTTTAAGATAAGGGAGCAAACCTGAGCTACACAAGGATATAGAAAAGGAGACAGAAAATATACTTTGCAAGCATTATTGCTCACATAATATTGGATGTGGCTGAATGTCTTGTTTCACAGAGTTGCATACAATGAAATTCAATAACTTCTCCAAATTTACCTAGATACATGTGGATAAACATTATTAAAGCATAATCGCAATAGCAAATTATTTTGCATTTATAAATAACAGGAATTAGGAAATAACAATTCTTGATGTAATTAAAATATCTAGGGTTTTTTTTTACACTGAAATTTTATTGACAGCTGATAGAACTCTGAACATAATTATTTGTACTTCAAATTAATCTAAATACACAAAAGATGTAATGACTGATTTGGGACACTAACATGAGATAAAGCCCTGTTTAAATAACTCGAAAATCACCTGTTGCTGAACAAAAAATTAACTTCCGAAAAAGGCAGCTGAAAGTTATCCAGAACTAAAACTTTGTCTCATCAGAAATGAAAGCAGACATGAAACTGACAAGAGTAAACTTGTAGAAACAAGATACTGAATCCAGAACATTTGAAAAAGAAGTTTATTTAACCTAGTATCAGGTTGAAATGTTTTAATGAAACTTCTCTTTATCAAAGGTTAACTTATGTGTATTTGCTTGGAGTTCACAAGTTCCATGTATAGCTAAGCTACAAAAATAGGATGAACTACACTTCTTGATTTTCACTAATTATCAGAAATGTACAAAGTTCTTGAAAATCAGATAAAAGGAAAGTCATCCTGTACCACTGAAGATATTCCATTGTATTTTCCAAATGAATTGCTAAAGAAGAATTAGCACCTTCCTTTATTGTTTGTGCTATGCCTTCACAGGAAAACCTTGTTATCTCTTGGAGATAATGTACATTTAAATCACCACGATTGCCATGGTATAGATTAGAAACTGGTTAAATGTTCTTTTTATATAGTATGACCAATTATTTGAGAGTTGTAGTCTGCAGTCTCCATTCGTAGAATATATGGTATGATACTGTCAATCTGAACATTTCCAATTAATCCTGCAAAAAACAGTTCTTCTGTGATAGCTGCACTCATCAGTCTTAAGGCCGGCAATCTGAGAAGTAGCCTAGAGAGCCTGGAAGACAGATTTGACAAACAGTGGCACACTTTTACAGGTACAGACGAGATTGATTTTTAGTACCTTCAAATATTAGCAAAACATATAGTTTTTCAGCAATAAATGCTAAATAAAACATTATTCATATTTTTCATAATACAATCCTGTTGGCAACTCCAGCTAAATACCTCATTTCTGGAATTGTTGACAGATACTATGTGAGGATCTCCTCCCTCCCCAGATATACCTGTTACTTTTAAATCTCTACATGGCAAGGGTACAGGATATCTGAGGAGCTGTGTCTCCCAAATGGGACTAACCCATCCCACTCATGCCAGTGGAAGAAGCCTGGTATGGATCCCATCAGCTAAGGAATTTCAGCAGGCGGGTTCAAGGAGAAGAGACTTTTCCGCTGTGGTCCATTGCTAGAGAGGACTACCACTGGAGCTGAGAACTGCTCCCAGCCTTTTGGCCTTCTGGGTATCAAAACTTGGCTTTGCCAATTGGCACAGGATCACGAGAAGGACGTTCACCATTGGAGAGGTGGCTGATGGGATAAGACGATTTCATTCACGTCCCTCTGACTCTTGGTTCTGATTTCATTATAGTTTTAAAATCATAATATGTGTAGTTTTAATGTTTTCATTAATTATTTTTTTTACTTATTTTATAACTTGTAAGCTTCCCAGAGTCACCTTATACGGGTGATGGACAGCTAATAAGTAAGTAAGCCTAAACAGCCTGAGACAATAAAATCCTGGAAGATGGTTTTTATGTTTTCTTTGTAGCAACAGAGGGATCTGTTTTGCAATATAGTTAGTAGCTGTACTTACTAACTGTATCATACAGAAAACCAAGATGCTTAGAGGAATGCCACACTGGCAGCAGTACGGAGATTTAGACTTCCTTCAGGGATTATTTACTAGGGGGAAAAAATCTAACTAGTCCAAATCTTAACTTTATAAGATCTTCTTACATTAATAGTAATTGATTAAAGGATATGCTATGTTTTAAACCTTTGTTGATTAAAATATTTTTGTGCTGTAGGAAAAAATGTTCAAGTGAACACAATATTGCCTGTGACAGGCAGAATTTCTACAAGTAGTACTAAATTTGAAATATTGTACAAAGTATCTGACAGGTTCTTGATCTGTGTACACATCAATGGCACCATGTAGTTTTTTATACTAATAAACATTTAAAATGTGTAGGCAGCCCTACAGTTTTAATTTTTTACTAGACTATATACAGTCAGTATCTTTACACCCTATTATTTTAGGGGAAAATCAAATATGAATTTAAATTTATATCTACTATTCATTTAATGGTATTCCTGGAAGAAAACGCAACAGGATAACACTATAGCAATATCACCCCACAGTGAAGATTAAAAAAAAAAAAAGCTTGAAGTTTCTTGAACAAATTTTAAAAGAAGCATTTAAAAAAACTGGAAACAAATATTTGTTCAGATTCTACACACCTGTAGGTATCATCTGGATATACTTTCATTACATAATCCTGGAATTCCATATATGCCTTTTCTTGACAATTTTCAATCTGCACCACATTTTCTAAGCCTGGATGATCTAAAATAAATCTATAGTTATATTTACTTCAAATAACACAGCTATAAGAAGGGTGCAACTAAGCATATCTTGACAAATATTTTGATTTTAAAATTGTTCATCACATGTTGAGAATTAGGACTGTAACATTTATAGTGACTTTGCTGAAATAATAACATTTTATTTGAACAGGTAGAGAAAATGATCAGAATTCCAAATCTACTGAAGTGAAAAATGCTCATAGTCGTTGTGTGATAACAATTATATTACAAAATTGGTGCATTCCTTCCAAGATCCATCCAGAATAGAGGACAACACTCTATATTAACTTAAGCTTCCTAGACATCATGGCAAATTTCCAAAAGAGACCCTGCCTTCCCAATAAAAATTAAATAAACATTTTGTGAGATTTTGACAATCTAGTATAAAATCATGTAAGATTTTATTTGAACGGCCAGTTTCAGTTTAAAAATGACTCCAAAAACATGTTACTGGGACATACATATTGTCAGATTTCTCAAATTGCTGTACTTCAGCATCATATTCATGTAAGAATTCAGCATCAATCTTGGACCACATTCACAGCCCACATACTGATTTAAAGATGACTGAGACATCCATGTATTATTGTTAATTATTAGATTATATCTATGTATTGATAAAATGAAATATTAACAAAAATGGATGATCTCAGACAATGTATTTATAGAAAAGTTAACTATGGCACAAATTATTTCCCCCAAGAAGAGAATGTTTCCACCCAAAATATATTCAAATATGTC